GCTATCATATCTCCTCTCGGCCTTCTCTTCTTCAGGCTAAACATGCCCAGCTCCTGATTGTTTTATTGCTCATTGATGTATTTTTAATGTAATTTATGTCTAATTGTATTGTATAATTGTAATTGTTTGTACTGGCATTGAATTTTTGCCATTACTTATGTGTAAACTGCTTTGAGTCCCCCTTGGGGTGAGAAAAGCGGCATACAAATACTGTAAATAAATAAATAATAAACATTGGTGTGTTTTTGTTCTTTTCATCACTTTGGGCTACTGGTGGTGCGTCACACTGCTGCTAATAAGTTACTCTGCTATACATTTATGAGGAGGGTCTTTTGTTATTAAGCGCACTCGCCCAACAAGGTTTATGGACCCAGTATAACCCAGTATAGACCAGTACAGACTATATTGAAGAAATATGGTGATGGCATTTCAAGCAAGTGGACTGTCTTTTGAAAGGTTGAATGCCTGCAATTATACCACATGGTCATTTAAATTTTTTTTTTGTTAAAAGGCAATTTGTGGGAAGTAATGGAGAATTCCCCAGATAAAAGATGATGACAAATTGAGGGCAGATCAGTGTGCAAAGGCTTCTATCGTATTGGCATTAGAGAACAATGAACTGCCATATACAAGGAATGCCTAAACAGCTGCTGATTGTTGGCAAAGCCTAAAGGAAATTTATTCATAATAATGTATTAATTCCCTGTAGTAACCTATGGATGTGAGAGCTGGACCTTAGGGAAGGCTGAGCAGAGGAAGATCGATGCTTTTGAGCTGTGGTGTTGGAGGAAAGTTCTGAGAGTGCCTTGGACTGCGAGAAGATCCAACCAGTCCATCCTCCAGGAAATAAAGCCCGACTGCTCATTGGAGGGAAGGAGACTAGAGACAAAGTTGAAGTACTTTGGCCACATCATGAGGAGACAGGAAAGCCTAGAGAAGACAATGATGCTGGGGAAAGTGGAAGGCAAAAGGAAGAGGGGCCGACCAAGGGCAAGATGGATGGATGGCATCCTTGAAGTGACTGGCTTGACCTTGAAGGAGCTGGGGGTGGTGACAGCCGACAGGGAGCTCTGGCGTGGGCTGGTCCACGAGGTCACGAAGAGTCGGAGACGACTGAATGAATGAACAACAAAATGTATTAATATATTATTAATAAAATTATGTGTGTTTGTATTCATAATAGTGGAGTTATAGGACTTTCAGTGCATAGAAAAAACATTAGGGTTAAAAATGGAACAATGTCAAACTCCGTGGTCTGGAATCGAAGTAGGGAAATGTTACTCATTACTAGGATGTGACTCTCAGCTGACAGATTCCTCCAAGAAGTGTTCCCTTTGGTTTCCACAGTGCCACACGTATGACTCACACTCAGTTTGTGGCCTGCTTTAATTGCACTTACATGATACCAATCCACTGACTAACCCAACCCTATCCTTGCAAATGTCCATCGACATTTCCCCCCAATACGTGGAATATTTTGAAAGTTTGCCTTCTGTTTGGTCAGGCACTCAACCCTCTCTTCTAGACAGCAGATGTGCCCTTCCCATTCAGTGGGGGCGAAGGGAGTAACTATTCTGATGTTCGGTGCTAATGGTTGTTCTTTTTCAATGGGAAAAAGGCATGGCAAAACCTCAGTAGGCCAATCTTTGTATGTTTTGAAACCAGAGTGAGGAGGAGGGAAGGAAACATGCTATGGAATAGTAGCACCTTTTCCACTCCAAGTTAAACATACTACACTCCCTTAATTTACTATCCCTTCGTAGAGCTTGTAAAACTTATTTATTTAGGCTGGCATTTGAACCTTGCTGATTGAATTTTTCCTTGATTTTAATGTTATGTATTGCATGTGTATATTGCTCCTAGCCTTCGGGGAGTGGCGGTATATAAAATTGATTAATAATAAAATAAATAAATAATATTTTTTTTGTCGTGTCAGGAGCGACTTGAGAAACTGCAAGTCACTTCTGGTGTGAGAGAATTGGTCGTCTGCAAGGACGTTGCCCAGGGGACACCCAGATGATGTGATGTTTTTATCATCCTTGTGGGAGGCTTCTCTCATGTCCCCGCATGAGGAGCTGGAGCTGATAGAGGGAGCTCATCCACCTCTCCCCGGATTCGAACCTGCGACCTGTTGGTCTTCAGACCTGCCAGAACAGGGGTTTAACCCACTGCGCCACATAAATAAATCAGTGGTTTCCAACCTGTGGTCCATGGACCACCAGTGGTCTACGAGAACGAAAATATGGTCTGTGGCGTCACCATTACTACACCATTGCCTCAAAATCACATCAACAAGAGTGACTGGTCTCTAGTGCTGAGGCAACAGGGATGTCGGGAAGGGAGAGGCTGACTACCCACAAAATATTATGACCACATCAGCTTTAGATTATTAAATACTAGCTTGAGGACCTAGTGGTGCCTGGGTTATTTGAGAAAAGCATTCTTTGTTTTTTGTAGTTTGGTAAGGTATACCGCTATTTATTAGAAAAATAGCCAGTCTTTCCTTTTGTTTTTTATGAATGCTCCCATTAGAAAATGCATAAGGATGTAGGTGAATTACAATTCCCAGAATCGTGGAGCAATCCTTCCCAAACCCTGCCATTATTCAGAGTTGGCCATGTTGGGTCTGTGTGCCAAGTTTGGTCCAGATCTGATATCAGCTGGGTTCAGTGCTCTCTGGATAAGGGTGAACCACAACTCCCAGATTCCCAGGGCAATCACTCCCAAACCCAGCCAGTATTCACAGTTGGCCATGTTGGTTTTGTGTAAAGTTTGGTCAAGTTTGTTCCAGATCCATCGTTGGCTGAGTTCAGTGCTCTCTGGATACCTGTTGAGTCAGTCCCCCAAACCCTTCACTTGTTTGCTGTGCCACAGGTCTGCTGACCGAAAGGTCACTGGTTCAAATCTGGGGAGTGGGGGGGGGGGGGAGTCCCAATGATCTGCAATTAATGCCCACAGAACTGCACTTTCATCCCATGCTTTAGTTCATTAGCTAAAATTTGCATTATCCTATTCCCTGCTCCGGCTTACAATAGGTTGTTTTTCGACAGTCCTCATCATAGGTTACAGGGTATTTTGTTTTATATGCTACTAGCCGACCCCTGCCACGCGTTGCTGTGGCCCAGTCTGTGTATCTTTGTTTTGTGTGTGTATATATTTGTGTATATGTATATATATGTGTGTGCATGCATTGTAATTTATTTTTTGTCTCTTTTGCTGTTTTTCAGTGTTTCTATGAGTGATGGCCACTCATTGGCCTGAAAGGTGTTTTGTGTCCCAATTTGGTGTCAATTCGTCCAATGGTTTTTGAGTTATGTTAATCCCACAAACGAACATTACATTTTTATTTATATAGATTGATTTAATCTTCTATTATATGTTTATTTTATGTGTTGTTTTAGGCACATTGTGCCATAGGTAAGCCGCCCCAAGTCCCTCTGGGGAGATGGAGGCGGGGTACAAAAATAAAGTATTTATAAAATTATTATGAGCACCTGTCTGTCAGCTCTAGCTTCTCCTCCTGATGCTGCTGGGTCATTCTCAGTCCCGTTACCTGGGCGCTTTTCCCCGTCTTGAAGGGACTTGCTGGCACGAGCATCCCTCCAGCCTCACATACTCTCCCTCGTCCGCACATGCACACCACACTGCCATGTGCTGAGCACGCCTGCTCTCCCCTTCCTGCTTGGAGTCTCAGAAACAGCGCTCCCCTTGGCTGAGAGGCCAGCCAATCACAGAGGAGGAGGGCTTTTGGTGGGAGGATTCGTAGTCTGTTTCCAAAAAGGAAGAGAAAGACAGGACAGAGATCTTCAGCTTTCTCTGCCAAAGGGGTTCCTAAGAGCACTAGAAATATGTGTTTTCTGATGGCCTTTGGTGACCCCTCTGAAACCCCCCTCCCTTCACAACCCCCCTAGGGGTCCCAACCATAAGGATGAGCAACACTGTTGTAGGCCTAACTACCTAGTGGATCTTAGTCTCCCTAATCCTGCTCTCCAGCTATGGAACACCATTCTTGAGTCCTCAATGGAACCAACACAGAACATATATTTTAACTAGTCTTTCTGATCCATCATCAAAACAATGAGTGCGATCCAACAATCCACATAGAGGAACCCGGACTAGTGCTGGTCCAACCATTCCTGTTCAAGAATCAGCAAAAGAATGAGAAGTTAGACCAGCGTTTCTCAAACTGGGGGTCGGGACCCCTGGGTGGGCTGTGAGGCGGTGTCAGGGGGGTCGCCAAAGACCATTAGAAAACACTGTATTTTCTGTTGGTCATGGGGGTTCTGTGTGGGAAGTTTGGCCCAATTAAAATTAAATCGTAAAAATAAATCGTTGGTGGGGTTCAGAATGCTATTTGATTGGTGAACTATAAATCCCAGAAATTATAACTCCCAAATGTCAAGGTCTAGTTTCCCCAAACTCCACCAGTGTTCACATTTGGGCATATTGAGTATTTGTGCCAAGTTTGGTCCAGATCCATCACTGTTTGAGTCCACAGTACTCTCTGGATATAGGTGAACTACAAGTCCCAAAACTCAAGATCAGTGCCCACCAAACCCTTCCAGTATTTTCTGTTGGTCTTGGGAGTCTGTGCAGCAAGATTGGTTCAATTCCATCGTTGGTGGAGTTCAGAATGCTCTTTGATTGAAGGTGAACTATAAATACCAGCAACTACAACTCCCAAATGACAAAATCAACCCCCCCCCCCTCAAATCCCATCAGTATTCAAATTTGGGCATATTGGGTATTTGTGCCAAATGTGGTCCAGTGAATGAAAATACATCCTGCATATCAGGTATTTACATTACGATTCATAACAGGAGCAAAATTACAGTTATGAAGTAGCAACGACAATAATGTTATGTTTGGGGGTCACCACAACATGAGGAACTGAGTTAGACGTAAAGTAGCACCAGAACTCTTTACCTTTTCCACTGCCTGAAGGGTTAATCTTGGGTGAAAGCTTCAACCGCAAATGGGCAATGTACAGAACAACAAAGTCTCTACCTTTCTGTTTATTGAGACAAACTAATTAAAAGGCACAAACATAGGGCATATGTTTACATGACATTATAACAAACATATACATTAGAAGTGTAGGAATGTGTTCTTTTTGCTACACAGGAAGTTCCTAAGCTTTTATATATACAAAAGTTGTACAATTTGATGTCCTAAGGTACAAAAAGATCATTTATAAAATTATTTTACACTAAGTTCTATCATTTTCCCCATTTTTGTTTTTAATTTTTTTTACTATGTAGTCCAAGCCCCTAGAACTGTTTTCACATAATCGGGACAGCCGTCTCTTGAACCCAGACGTCTGTCTCAAAGAAGTACGAAAGATGCTGCTTTTACACTGACACAATGGGTATAAAACACAAAAACAGTGGGTTTTTGACCCTCTCAGGTTCGCCAGCATCCCATTAAAAAAAGCCCAAATATCAAATACTACGGCACCGTCACCACTGTTGTGATCAGAGGAAGCCTCGTTGATTCCTTCCAATTGTTGGGCACGTATTTGACAACAAAGTGATTGTGACATGATAGGCTAAAAAGAAAAATCAATCTCTTCCCTAGATTTTCCATACTACTTTTATGTACAGATATAGGAGAAATAAAATGTGTCATTTTGATGGGTGCTTTAAATGTGACCCTTTGTGGGGGGGGGGGGGCATAAAAGGAGGCAGGGATTTCCACTTCACTGGATGGGCCAGACAGTTACTGGGAAACCCCATGAGCCAATAACTAGGTGTTAACACAAGTAACTAAAAAGTACAAACGATGGGGAGGGAGGGGGAGATTTTTCCTGTAAATATTTACAAAATCGAAGAGAGCGCACAACACTTGATTGAAAGGGGAGAAGAAAGGGGTAAACACAAAACAATAAGATGCACTCTTGGCTTGTCCTGAAGGGGGCATCCTAACTAGTTAGTGGTTAGAATAAAAACTGTATACCATTTTATATTATAAGACAACAAAAAAAACTTCTAGTGAACACAGCCTGCTCTTGCCATCACAACACCAGCAGGCTCTGATTGAGAGAATGAGGGGGCAGATACAAATCCTACCCCAGCACCTCCACAGTCTTCCATCTTAAAGCATTATCCCTCCCCGCCCCACCCCCGTTTTCCAAAGCCTACCACTGGCTCTTCAGAAAGAGTCCCGACTGGATTTTGACCCGAGACTGTTCTCGCGTCCGTTCCAAATCCTCTTCCGCCAGCGACAGCCGTTTCCCCTTCCAAACATTAAAACAGTTCCTTCTTTTCTTCTCAATTACATCGACTATGATGTTATAATTCCCTTAGGGTAATATGTCACGTCGTTATTTACATCTCCAAATATTAGGTTGCAATCCCTATTGTTATTGAGAGGTTAGAATGATAAAAGTCACCATATATGCTTTGCATATCAGAGCTGGTATCACTTTTTTCCCATAGGGAATTTGGCCTGAAATCATCATATTCCCAAAAAAGGTAAAAATGCATAATTACTCAAAATGCATTAAAAATAAAATAGGACCATGAAATGCATTTACTTAAAAAAAAAAAACCCACAACAATGCTACAAAACCTACTTTCTGAATCAGAGGGATACAGAGCTGGCAAATTAAAAGTGATCCATCACCACCATGCATTCCTTTACTGACTTTTAGTGTTTTGATTCAAACCATTTCACCATTCGTGATTTCTAGGCTTATTCACAATGCTTTTTAAACTGAAGATACATGTAAACTGGATCCGCCTCTCACTGGTTCCTCTTTGGACACTTCTACAAAGTGGAAGGAAACCAAGGGACCCAGTGACAGATCAACAGCCAGCCAACTAATTCAGAACACTATGAATAAAGTGTCTTTTAAAAAAACAAATAAAGCCGGTGCGTGACTTTTGCCCCAGCAAAATTAGGCTGGTTTTCACAATCCATTGCTAACTCAAAACAAAACAAAACAAGATAACTGCTGGTATGGACTTGCTTCTCATTCTTCTTTTTTAATACTGCCGTGAGGTTTTGTTTTGCTTTCTTCCTACCAAGGGGGAGAGGTGGGCAAGGCCTGGGGAAGGAAAGGCATGCTCTCCACGGGCCTCATTGCTATATTCAACGGACCAGCTAGCGTCATTGGGGTCGGGAGGTTCATGGGGGAGGTAATGGTCACCGGGTGGGCGATGTTCACCGGAGCTGTGACTGAAGTCGGTAAATTCACTGGCGTGGTGAGCGTTAGCGGAGAGGTCATCGACAGAGGACTGGTGATAGTGACCGGGTGGCCGAGGCTCATGGGGCTGGAGATGTTAACCGCGCTTGAGACGTTCACGGGGCTTCGCATATTCATGGCGGCCGCCACCGTGACCGGATTAGTGATGGTTCCCGATGCCACCGAAGAGGTGATATTGAAGGGAGTGGAAAGGGTCACCGGTGTAGTAGCCGCAGTAGACGTTTGGCACAGGTTAGCAGCTTCTAAAAAACAGACACAAGATATAAAAGGACACCAGGGTTGGTTTGTAAAGGGAAACACAAAGGGGAAATCTTGAACCATGGACAGGGCAGTCCTTAAAATAAACCTTTAATGTGCAAATGTGTGGAATACTGCTTTATTCTTGCAAATCCAGCCCTCCTTATGCTATGAAACCTGTCCCTATGGAACCCCATCCATCTTTAGGCCTTCTGCTGCCAGGTTATGTTCTCATCAGAACAGCAGCAGTTCACTGGCTTACTGTGAGTTTTCCAGGCTGTCTGGCCATGTTCCAGAAGCATTCTTTCCTGACATTCTTTCCTGACATTTTGCCCACATCTATGGCAGGCATTATCCCAGAGGAAAAGTGTTCTTACCACACATTAAGGAAACCAAAGCTGATGAAAAAACACAACCTACAACTATATATAGACTCACTAAGAAAATCCAACAAATGGATTCCTCTCACTTCCAAATGAAGAAATGTCCACACGAATCAAGGAACACAAAAGGCCCTGCAGACTACTTCAACCAGAAAAGTCAGCCATAGCAGAGCACCTGATGAACCAACCTGGACACAGCATATTATTTGAGAAAACACAAAGATGCTGGACCACTCTAATAATTATTATTTTTGTATTGTCGAAGGCTTTCATTGCCGGAATCACTGGGTTGTTGTAGATTTTCCCGGCTGTATGGCTATGTTTTTTGCTGCCCTGGAGACTAGGACACGGAACAATGGCTTCAAACTACAAGACAGAAGATTCCATCTGAACATTAGGAAGAACTTCCTGACTGTGAGAGCCGTTCAACAGTGGAGGCTCCTTCTTTGGAAGCTTTTAAACAGAGGCTGGATGGCCATCTGTCAGGGGTGATTTGAATGCAATATTCCTGCTTCTTGGCAGGGGGTTGGACTGGATGGCCCACGAGGTCTCTTCCAACTCTATGATTCTATGTTCTAGAAGCATTTTGCCTGCATCTATGGCAGGCATCCTCAGATGTTGTGAGGTCTGTTGGAAACTAGGAAATTTGAGTTTATACATCTGTGGAATGTCCAGGGTGGGAGGAAGAACTCCCACCCTGGACAGTCTGTTGGAGCTAGGTTTGAATCTTTCAATTGGCCACCTTTTATTAGCATTTGATTGACTGGCAGTTTTTTGGTGTGGCTTTTTAGTGCCTGGGGGAATCTTTTGTTGAGAGATAATTAGCTGTCCCAAACGTTTCCTCTCTGGAGTTCCCCTGTGTTTGAGTGTTGTTTTACTGTTATAATTTTATACTTTTTTAAATACTGGTAGCCAGATTTTGTTCATTTTCATGGTTTCCTCCTTTCTGTTGAAATTGTCCACATGCTTGTGGATTTCAATGGCTTCTCTGTGTAGTCTGACATGGTGGTTGTGAGAGTGGTCCAGCATTTCTGTGTTCTCAAATAATATGCTGTGTCCAGGTTGGTTCATCAGGTGCTCTGCTATGGCTGATTTTTCTGGTTTAAGTAGTCTGCAGTGCCTTTCATGTTCCTTGATTCATGTTTGGGCAATGCTGCGTTTGGTGGTCCCTCTGTCCACAGCTGCATAGTATATGTTAGATTCCTGCTGAACGTAGCATTTGTTGGATTTTCTAAGTGGGTCTGCAGATAGTTTGTATGTTGTGTTTCCTCATCAGCTTCCCTATGCGGTCAGTGGTTCCCTCGATGTGTGGCAAAAACACTTTTTGGTTCATTAGGTGCTCAGCGAGCAGGGCCTCCCTGGAAGATCTTAGTCTGTGCAGTGGTTCATAGAGGGAGATGCGTTTGGACAGACTACCATGTCAAACTACACAGAGAAACCATTGAAATCCACAAGCATGTGGACGATTTCAACAGAGAGGAGGAAACCATGACAATGAACAAAATCTGGCTACCAGCATTAAAAAGAACCCTCTAAAATCTGGACAATAAAGAAAGAACAACACTCAGAAAACAAGAATTCCAGATATGAAACAATCAAGGCCAGCTAACATCTCTAAACAAAGGATTCCCCAGGAAGGAAGCAGCCAAGCTTTAAAGCTGCAAGGCCATTCAATTGCAGCGTTCACAGTTGTTTCAAACAGACGACAGTTCTTTCTCCTACTCTGGACATGCCACAGATATATAAAACCCCACTTGCCTAGTTTCCAACAGACCTCACAACCTCTGAGGATGCCTGCAATAGATGTGGGCAAACACCAGGAGGGGATGCTTCTGGAGCATAGCCATTCAGCCTGGAAAACTGATCTGGCCATGGTGGTCCATGCCCTAGTCACCTCTAAGTTGGATTACTGCAATGCACTCTACGTAGGGTTGCCCTTGAAGACGGCCCGGAAACTAGTTGATCCAGAGATCTGCAGCCAGACTACTCACGGGAGCTGGTTACAGAGAGTGGTCAACCTTCCTGTTTAAACAGTTCCACTGGCTTCCAATAAGTTTCCGTTCCCAATTCAAGGTGCAGGTCATCACCTATAAAGCCCTAAACAGTTCGGGACCTGCTTATCTTTGCGATCGCATCTTCCTCTATGAACCAGTGCGTACCTTGAGATCTTCTGGGGAGCTCTCTCCCCCCCCCCCCCCCCCCCCCCGCCGTCACATGCACGGTTGATGGGGACGAGGGAGAGAGCCTTCTCGGTGGTGACCACCCGGCCCTAGGGAGAGCAGACAGACTCCCAACTTGTCCTCCTTTCGTAGTCAACTAAAAACCTGGATGTTCCGGTGCGCTTTTGACTAAGCAGCTCACCAGTAACTTTCTTGTCCCTACTTGAAGTTCTGCACTTTACACTGGCATACGTTCTACCTCAACATATGTTATGACAGTATTTCCTGCTCAGTTTACTGTATGTTGCACTTTCCTGCGCTCCTGTAAAAACGTATTGCACTCATTGAATCTGTACCTCAGCTAAGTTTCTTTCAGCCGTATTGTTTTTATATTGATTTCAATTGTGCTGTTATTTGTTTTTATCTGATATTTTAATTGGTTAAGTGTTTTACATGTGTGTTTTTATTGTAATTTTGGGCGTGTCCCTTGTAAGCTGCCCCGAGTCCCCTAGGGGAGATGGTTGGCAAGGTATAAAAATAAAGTTGTTATTATTATTATTATTATTATTATTATTATTAAACTCACAGCAACCCAGTGATTCCGGCCATGAAAGCCTTCGACAACAACAGCTGTTCAGCTAATGGCTATTGAGGAATTGGAAATAGGTTATCTGCTTGTACTGACTTGGCCACGGTAGTCCACGCTCTGGTTACATCCCGTTTAGACTACTGCAACGCTCTCTAGGTGGGGTTGCCTTTGAAGACGGCCCGGAAGCTCCAACTGGTCCAACGTGCGGCAGCCATGATACTAACAGGAGCGGGGCACAGGGAGCATACAACCCCCCCTGCTGTACCAGCTCCACTGGCTGCCGATCTGCTACCGGGCTCAATTCAAGGTGCTGGCATTGGCCTATAAAGCCCTAAACGGTTCCGGCCCAAGATACCTAACTGACCGCCTCTCGGCCTATGAGCCCACGAGGACTTTGAGATCTTCTGGGGAGGCCCTGCTCTCGATCCCGCCTGCGTCACAGGCACGGCTGGCGGGGACGAGAGATAGGGCCTTCTCGGTGGTGGCTCCTCGGCTGTGGAACACCCTTCCCGTAGACATCAGGCTAGCCCCCTCCCTGTTGATATTCCGCAGGAAGTTAAAGACCTGGTTGTTTGAGAAGGCATTTGAATAGTAGTGCAATGACGGGTAACTCGACCATAGGAATGGAACAACGGAAATGATATTGGATTGTGAACTTGACGATGAGACGACTCGGAATGGCTTGTAGTTATATTAATGTTTTTGATGAGATGTTTTGATAATGATGTACTGTGTATTATTTTTTGTATGTTGAATTTTTGCACCTGTTTTTCCATGTTGTACACCGTAATGAGTCGCCATTAGGCTGAGAATTGCGGTATATAAGCGAAGTAATAAATAATAAATAATACTGTTGCCTTCGGTTTCCTGGTAAATTGTTAAGCCTGACTTCACAAACTCTGAGGATGTCTGCCATAGATGCAGGCGAAACGTCAGGAGAGAATGCTTCTGGAACATGGTCATATAGCCCGGAAAACTCACAACAACCCAAAGTGTTAAGCCTTTATTTTTAAAAAGCATACCCATCTATACATTCTTTGCTTTGACATCTCATTTCTTGCTACAACAATATGTACTCTTAAACAGCATCTACTTAAAATGTGAAACAAAATAAGAACTAACAGTTCTATAAGCTATGGTAATTTGTTTCATGCAATTCATACAAATTCAAGACATTTCCTGGAACTTTATTTTTTAGTATAAAAGGGGGGATTTGTTCATAAAAACAGCACAGTATTAGCAGAAAATCCTCTCATGAGGAACATTAGAAGTAGAGGAGAGTGTACATACCGAATGGTACGTACTCTATAGCCTTCTCAAAGTTGTACTGACATTCTGTGAAGGTTTTAAAAAGTCATTATTAGGGACCGATACACAAAGCTGGTTTCACTATTTACCTGCTTATTTCATTCTTAAGATGCAGTTTAACTATAATTAGTGGAATATTTTAGTCAGCGGAGCTCATTAGCCACTGCAACACCCCAGTTAATAAGATGTGGGTATCAAACCCCATTGGTTGGCACAGTTTCCATCTTTGCTAGAAATGCACACCAGGGTTTCTCTTCTGGAATGTGAAACCTGGGGCTAGCTGCACAGAAGGAAGATAGAAAAGCATATGGCAGAAATATACCTCTGATGTCTCAGCACCACCTGCTGGCTAGCCATTGAATGCATCCCATGCTCATGTGGAGAAGGGGGGGATGGAAAATAAAACCTGGGGCCCTTAGAAACCTCAACCTGAGCAACATTCAGGCATGAAGCCAAGTCATAAAGCCACTCACATACACCTTTCAGCACATTATACAGAATCCACATTCCTTTCACATCAAGCTTGGCTTTTGCAGTGTTATTTCCACAATGCTCAATGGGCTACGCTTACACACATAAGCAGACTGCACAACTGAGGACAGAGGCGATGAGAAACAGACTGCAGGATGCACCCAAGGTGAAGAGAAAGGTGGCCCTACATTCAGTCCAATGGGATCCCCCACCCCAGGTGTGCTGTCTTCATTCCAGCAACAACGGTTATTTTACCCTGGAAACGGCCACCTTTGCACCCCGTTGGCATTTCGAGGAGGAGGAGGAGGTTAAGAGAGCTGAAAGTCCAGCCTTACGATAGAAACGTATCTGACCCTACCTTGCTTGACTGTAGTTGGCCTCAGAGTCTGCTGACTTTCTGCAATCAAAATTGGGAGGTGGAGGAAAGGGGTTGCAATTAAGCCATTCAGTGACAACATTGCTCTACTTCGTCCCTATTATCTTGTCAAAAAGCAAACAAGCTGCATCTCTGCACAAGAGTTAAACCTATCAGGTCTAGCGTTCACGTTTTATACAAAGTCACAAATATTTCCAGTCAAAGGTTAGCATATAATAAATTGTGGAGCACATCACAACTTATTTTATTTCTTTATATTTATTTATTAATCAATTTTATATACCGCCACTCCCCGAAGGCTCGGAGCGGTTTACAATATACATATGCAATCCCATTACATTTAAAATCAAAGAAAAATTTCAATCAGCAAGATTCAAATGCCAGCCTAAATAAATAAGTTTTACAAGCTCTACGAAAAGACAGTAAGTCTCAGAGAGCTCATGTTTCCACTGGCAAGGCATTCCACAGGTAAGGACCCACCACCATGAATGCTCTACGCCTAGCAGACATCAGGTGAAAGGTCCTAAAATTGGGAACTTCAAGGAGATTCTGATCGTCTGAACTGAGGGATCTCGGGGGTTGGTAGGGGGTGAAGTGGTCCCTCAGGTACTCTGGCCCCAGGCCTTAAAGGTAAGAATCAGCACTTTGAAGAAGGTGCTCAATCGGCAACCAGTGCAGTTGCTGCAAGATTGGAGTGATGTGGCACCTCGCTGGAGCCCCTGCGAGAAGCCAGGCAGCAGCATTTTGCACTACTTTAAGTTTCCAGAAAATTGCCAGGAAAGCCAATTGTCTAACTAGCTCCATATTCTGACCAGCAGCAGCTCCACAAGGTTTTGAAGTAGCATTTTTTTCAAGATGCATAAACCACAAATCATATTATTTGATTGTAAATTGTGTCAGAAGGGGAGAGACTTCTACCTTTGTCCATATATCAGACAGACTATGTATTGGGAATCTCACATCAGAACAACATATTTTATGTGTGGCCAAGGCCCAAAAATAACATATAAAACAGCTCTGTATTTAAGGAAAACACTAGGTTTAAGAACCACATTATGTGGGGCTGGTAGGGGTAAATTGAAGGAGTGATAAGAAAATACGATGTATATACTCGGTTTTATTATATTTATTTACTATATTGTTATAAGTGTCTTATTTTAACTTACTACATAGAGTGCAATCAAGTCTTATCAAGCTTTGTTTGGTTTGGTGTGATATGGTCTAAGGCAGCATTTCCCAACCTGGGCGTCGGGACCCCTGGAGGGGGTCACCAGAGGACGTCAGGGGGGTCATCAAAGACCATCAGAAAACACAGTATTTTCTATTGATCATGCAGTTTTTGTGTGGGTGTGGGAAGTTTGCCCCAATTCTATCGTTGGTGGGTTTCAGAATTGTCTTTGATTATAGGTGAACTATGAATCCCAGCAACTACAACCCCCAAATGTCAAAGTCTATTTTCCCCAAACTCCCAAAAGTGTTCATGATTGGGCATATTAAGTATTCATGCCAAGTTTGACATCAAGATTCATTATTGTTTGAGTTTACAGTGTTCTTTGGATGTAGGTGAACTACAACTCCAAAACTCAAGGCAAAACCCACCTAACCCTTCTAATATTTTCAGCTGGTCATGGGAGTTCTTTGTGCCAAGTTTGGTTCAATTCCATCACTGGTGGAGTTCGTAATGCTCTTTGATTGTAAGTTAACTATAAATTCCAGCAACTACAACTCCCAAGTGACAATCTCCCCCCAACCCCACCAGTATTCAAATTTGGGCATATTAGGTATTTGGGATTTGAAAATACATCCTGCATATAAGATATTTACATTACGATTCATAACAGTAGCAAAATTACAGTTATGAAGTAGCAATGAAATGTTAAGGTTGGGGGTCAACACAACATGAAGAACCGTACTAAGGGGTCGAGGCATTAGGAAGGTTGAGAAACACTGGTCTAAGGGCTAATCAATAATAATAACAACAACAACAACAACAACAATTTTTATTATTATTTTGTGTAAACCCAAAAATTTAAACTCAAAAGGCAAAGGGTTGTCCCCTTTTGCTTGCATAGCATGTGCTTTTACATTATCCTATGGCCCTGACCTATAGTCTTACTGTATATGAAAGCAGCCTGTTCCGGCCATCAGGTTCCTTAGGATTCTGCGTCATATACATCAGAGCTTTGTGGGATAACTGCTGAAAAATGGTTCCCAACAATACAATGTGCAAAGCAAAAGGGGTTTAAAGCAGAGTTGTAGGTAAAAGAGAGCAAACCCAAGTGAGTTTTCCAGGCTGTATGGCCATGTTCCGGAAGCATCCACTCCTGACGTTTTGCCCACATCTATCGCAGGCATCTTCAGAGGTTGTGAGGTATATAGGAAACTAAGCAAGGGAGGTTTATATATCTGGGAAAGGTCCAGGGTGGGAGAAAGAAGTCTTATTTGTTGCAGGCAAGTGTGAATGCTGCAATTAATCACCTTGATTAGCACTGCAATCAATGCTACAACCTCACACTATTGCTTAGCCTCAACGTTCTGTCATTGGAGTGCCCCCCCCCCCCCGGGGTGTGGGAAAGCTTGATTCCACAACCTCTACTATAATGAGCTACCCTTTTTTATTCTGCTGTAATCTGTGTTTGGGCTTGGCTTCATGTAAGCCGCTCCGAGTCCCCATTGGGGAGATGGTGGCGGGGTAGAAATAAAGATGATGATGATGATTATTATTATTATTGCAGCTTCATGGCCTACGTAAGTGGTTCTCAACCTTCCTAATGTCACTACCCCTTAATACAGTTCCTCATGTTGTGGTGACCCCCAATCTTAAAATCATATTTGTTGCTACTTCATAACTGTAATGTTGCTACTGTTATGAATCATCGTGTAAATATCTGATATGCAGGATGTATTTTCATTCACTGGACCAAATTTGGCACAAACATCCAATACGCCCAGATTTAAATACTGGTGGGCTTGGGGGTTGATCTTGTCATTGGGGAGTTTTAGTTGCTGGGATTTATAGTTCACCTACAATCAAAGAGCATTCTTTTTTTTTTCCAAAGCATTTTTATTTAATTTTTTTTTAATTTTTTATTTTGGATAACAAAACAATACAATATGAACCTTAGCATCAAAAGACAATATCAAAAACTGATTACAATTTTTATGTCTAGGATACAGGTTCCAATTGTGCTTCCCTTAACCATAAATCTTGATTAATCACCCTTTTAAAAACCCCTCCCCACCCACCCACCCTTACCACCCTCTCCTCACCTCCCTCCCACCCCCATCTGGGTTACTTGAATCAATTCATTGATTTAATTGTCTGGAAGGCCTGATTTAAAGTTCTGTACCTATCTTTTCCTTCCGTTTTTTCGATTAAACAAGACCATTTTCTAAACCAATCTTGTCTTGACTGAATATTCAAATATTTATTTTTCTTTTCATAAATGAAATCACTAATTAAATATTCAGAAAGATAAGACCACCAAGTTTTCAGGTCCCACCTTGTTTTATCTTTCCAACCTCTGGCGATTGTGGCATGTGTAGCAGCTATCATAAATTTCAATATCTCTGACCATTCGTTGTTTCCCTCCTTTACCTCTATGTTGAGGGACAGAAATCGAGCTTTATCCCAATGTAGTTTTTGCCCTATTATTTCCTCTATTACTTCTCTAACAGTATTATAGAATTTTTGGATTTCAGAGCAGTCCCACCACATGTGTGAGAAAGTACCAGTCTCCCCACATTTATGCCAGCATTTGTTAGAAGTGTTTTTCATAATGTGAGCCAATTGAGAGGGGGTCCTATACCATTTTGAAATTATTTTCTTTTGTGTTTCTTTGATTCTTAGATGTTTAATTTTTTGAGTTTTATTGATCCAGGAGTTTACTAAGTTTTCATTAAAGTTTATATCCTGTTTCCAGGCCTCTACTAAAGTATGTTTTGTATTGTAGGATAAGGCTATTAGTTCCTTGTATATTTCCCCTATAATGCCTTTCTCTTTTTCTATTTTCCAACCTATTATTCTATCCAATGGAGCTTCTGATGTTTCTTTCTTTTTTATTTCTTGTACTCTTTTCGACAAGCCCAACCAAGCTATCCAATACTTTGAACCACATTTGTCCTTTATCTCATCCCATTTCTTAATATCTCCATTAGGTTTCAAGAGGTCTCCTACCTTCTTTATTCCATTCTCTTTCAGGGACCTGATTAAATTCCTAAATGTTTTATCTTTATTTTCTAGGGTTTCTAGTGGAAAGGGATCTATTTTATTTATTTGTAATTTATTTTGCCATTTCTTCCAAACATACAATGTTGAGAGGAGGGGGCCCTCTCTTAATTTATTAAGCTCTTTTTTATCAATTTTTTCTCCCATAAATGAGCCCTTTTTCCAATCGTTTAATTCTTTCTCTAATTTCACCCATTTTCTCCCCCCTTCCAATTCCAATTCTATTAATTTAGCGATATGGCATGTCTCATAATACAGCTCCAGGGATGGAGCTCCCCATCCCCCCATTTCTTGGGTGCCATAGAATATAAAATTAGAAATTCTATTTTTATTCCCTCCCACTACCCATTTCTTGATGGAATTGTCCCACTTCTTAAAGAGTTTTGCCGAGATGTTTACTGGCAGACTTTGAAATAAATATAAGAATTTGGGTAGAATCTTCATTTTATAAATTTTAAGTCTAGAAGTGATGTCCCGAAAATTCTTCCCCCAGGTTTTAAGTGCTTTGCTTGTAGATTTCCATAAATGGTTGAAGTTTGATTGGATAATATTATTTAAATTCTTTGGAATTTCTACTCCTAAGTATTTTAATGACTTCTTTCCCAGTTTCACTCCTATAATATTTTGGGCGATTTTTAGTTCTTTCGATGTTAAATTCTTATGGAGAATTTCTGTTTTACCTAAATTAGTTGCAAGCCCTGAGATTTCCCCAAATTCCTTTATTAATTTGACCAATGAACTTAGCGACTCTTTCACGTCGCTTAAAATTATTATAACATCATCCGCATAAAGGTTTATTTTTATTTCTTCTTTGCCCGCCTTGTATCCTTTGATTGTTTGGTCCTGTCTAATTAAATTTGCTAAAGGTTCAATGGCCAATGCAAATAATAGTGGAGAGAGTGGGCATCCTTGTTTAGTTCCACTCTTTATACTAATTTGTCTCGAATCAACCCCATTTACATTTATGACTGCCTTATTTCTGCTGTATATCTCTTTTATTACTTTGCATAATTTTTCCCCCATTCCACTTGCCTCACATATTTTATTCAGGTATTTATGGTTTATTGAGTCAAATGCTTTTTGAAAGTCAAGCTTTACTATAAGCAGTTTGGATCTATTAACTGTAGCATGACTTGGAGTATTTAGAATGATCCTGATAGGGTCTGCTATTTTCCTATTTTTTATAAATCCATGTTGATCTTCATGGATTATTTTTGGGATTTTTTCTCTTATTCTGTTTGCTATGATTTTTGTAAAGATCTTATAATCCACATTACTAAGGGAGATAGGTCTATATGCATTAGGATCTGTCTCGTCTTTATTTGGTTTTGGAATTGTTATTATCTCACAGTACTTCCAGGAGTCTGGAACTTTACCTCCTTCCATGATTTCATTGAAAAGTATGACCAAATTTGGAGTAATTTCCCCTTTAAAAATTTTGTAAAAATTTGTGGTAAAGCCATCTGGCCCGGGGGCTGAGTTCACTTTTAAACTGTCTATTACTGTTTCAATTTCTGAATTTGATATTGTGTTGTTTAATTCTATTTGTGAGTGATAGTCTATATTTTCATGTAAATATACTTCTTGTTCTATTGTATTTTTATCATCGTAAAGTTTCTCATAAAAACTTGCCATAATTTCTCTAATTTCATTATCTGTTGATTTTAATTTACCCCTGTAATCTTTTAATTTTAGTATTCTCTTTCTAGCTTGTCTTTTTTTTAGGAATCTGGCCAAACTTTTTGAGTTATTGATGGAGTTGAATTGGTAATCATTTTTGATCCACAGATGTTTTTTGGTGGCGTCAATTTTTTCTAAATTCTCCAAATATTGTTTTTTCTCTATCCATCTTGTCTTATTTTCTGCTGTTGGGTGATTTTGAAATTGTTGGAGGAAGTTCTCTACCTCACCTCTAGTTTTTTCAAGAGTGGATTTTTCTTTCTTATTAATCCCAATTTCTTTAGTGATACATGTACCCCTAATAGTAGCTTTAAAAGCATCCCATATTAACTCTTCTTTTAATTCTGGTTGTCTGTTTATTAAAAAAAATTCTTTTATCTGATTTTTAATATCTTGTTTGTCCTTTTCTTTGAAAGTTACCTTTGGATTAAATCTCCATTTCTTTGTGAGTCTCCTTACAGATTCTCCCAATTTAAGCGAAATCGGAGCATGATCTCCTGGCCATTGTTTCCCTACTTTTATCTCTTTAATTTCTCTAGAGTTATTAATTCCAACTATGAAGTAGTCTATAGTTGTGAATTTAGAATGTCTGTGTGAATAGAAAGTTGGTGCCATACTCTCTTCACCTATTCTGTTATGGGCCTTGATTAGATTCCATTTTTTAAAATTGACTTTACATTCTAACTTTGGGGGACTAACCCCTAAGCTTCTTCTATTCATGTATAACTCCGTATTTAAATCTCCCCCAATGACTACTTCGCCCTTTGCATGTTTTTCAATTTTGGCAAATGTTTTATTTATGAAACTTATTTGTTTTTTGTTTGGCGCATATACACTTGCAATAGAGATATCACTATTGTTTAATTTTCCCATTATCATTATAAATCTCCCTTCCTTATCTGATATCCTTTTCTCTAGTACAAAACTGTTAGTATTCTTTATTATGATTGCTACTCCTCTGGATTTATTTGATCCTCTTGATTCAAATTGTAAGTCCCAATTCTTTAAGTTTAACAATTTTTCCTTATCTTTTTTCTTATGAGTCTCCTGGATTAAGCATATATCAGCATGCTGTTCAGTTAACATTCTAGCCAGTTTATATTTTTTCACCGGAGAAGATAGGCCATTTATGTTGACCGACAAAAATTTAATTTCCTCCATCATAGATCAGTTGTTTACCTTCACAACTTTCTGTCGCAGGCCCTCCCATTATATTATCCCATATCCCTACAGAACCCAGATCCCTACCCCAAAACAACCCCTCCTCTGGAACCCATGACCCCCTCCTCCTTGAGGAGGTTGCTAGGAAAAGAATCCTTGCACCCATCCAGAGAATAACGATGGACAGAGGCCCCTGTCAAATCAAAGAGCATTCTGAACTCCACCAACAATTGAATTGAACCAAACTTGGAACACAGAACTCCCATGACCAACAGAAAATACTGAAAGGGTTTGGTGGGCACTGACCTTGCGTTTTGGAGTTGTAGTTCACCTACATCCAGAGAGCACTATGGACTCAAACAATGATGGACCTGGACAAAACTTGGCACAGATACTCAAGATGCCTAAATGTGAACACTGGCGGAATTTGGGGAAAATAGACCATGACATTTGGGTGTTGTAGTTGCTGGTATTTATAGTTCACCTACAATCAAAGAGCATTCTGAACCCCACCAACGATCGAATTGGGTCGAACTTTCCACACAGAACCCCCATGACCAACAGGAAATACTGTGTTTTCTGATGGTCTCTGGCGACCCTCCTGGTACCCTCCTGCAATCCCCCTAGGGGTCCGGACCCCAGGCTGAGAAACACTGGCCTAGGTTATTCCTGCCCAGGGGAATCCTTTTGTTCCCCTGCTTTCAGAGTGTTGTTCTGAAATCCAGACATGAAACTATCACGGCCAGCTAATCAACTCCCAACAAAGGGTTCCCCCAGGCAGGAAGCTGCACAGATTTGCAATGCTAATCAAAGTGATTAATTGCAACATTCACATTTGCCTCCAACAAGTGTTGCCTCTCCCACCCTGGACCTTCTACAGATATAGTTTCCAATATACCTCACAACTTCTGACGATGCCTGCCACAGATGTGGGCGAAACGTCAGGAGTGGATGCTTCTGAATCATGGCCATACAGGCTGGAAAACTCACAGCAATCCACTGATTCCAGCCATGAAAGCCTTTGACAACACAGTGCAACCAAGCTTACCAGTACTCTGAAACCAAGGTCTTGTCCAAGAATGTGCATCTCATTCTTGGCCTGCTTTGTGCTGTTCCTGGCATTTGGGCAGCAAGACCAATGACCAGCATGCCATAGGGGTTGCAACCAGTGCAGCTAAATAGGAGTTGCTTCCCATCCTCCACCCCTGCCTATGCAAATGGCAATCATGAAAAGGAATGTGGCAGAGGTTTGATATGCTCATGCGAGTCAATGAAAAAGAGGCTTTACCCTCCATACATTTGGGAAAGAAAGGTAAGCTCAAGTATGCTGTTTTTAGAGCAGTAATTCCCAACCTTTTTTAAAAACCAGGGACCACTCTCCAACATTAGTAACAAAAGGATTACGAATCCATTTTTGGTCAACTTTAGATTCAGTTTGGTTATTTGAGGTGCTGATTCAGAAAATGGCATTGGATAGACCACATCAGCTCTAGCTTCTGATACAGAAGATATGCCATCCAGTAGTTGCCATCTGCTCACCTACATAAAACCATATTTAATAATCTAAAGCTGATGTGGTCGATCCAATGCAATTTGCTGAATCAGCATTCCAAATAACTCCAGAGACAGGCCTCAAAACGAAGACACCAAGATTTTTTTTTGGTTGGGCTGTGTGTTATCCGGGGTTTTTGTTAACGCTCTTATAAAAAAAAAAGGGGGGGGGAGGGTGCTGAAATTGAAAAAAAAATACATAAAGCAGAGTGAGAGACCCAAGAAACTGTCCCTAATGGCTTTCTCTCGCCTTGCCACGGGCATATTATTATTATTATTATTATTATTATTATTATTATTATTATTATACCCCGCAAAATCTCCCAAAGGACTCGATGCGGCTTACAAAGGCCAAGGCCATCAACAAACAACAGCATACAAATACAACAATAAAACTCATAAGCAAATAATAAAACATCAAGCAAAATAATAAAACAGTAAGAACAATGACACCGTGACGCATTTAAAACCTAAAGGCCGGGCCAAATGTAAATGACAAAATTTAAAAAGTGCTGGACTTGACAGGTGATATGTAGAGTTATTTGGAGGTAGGTGCAATGTGCAGATAATCCTAAATCTCTAACAAAGTGCATTTGGGACTTGATGCCAGGAGTTTCCTATTCTGGAAAGGCACACTGGAACAGCACACTGGAACACACATGACCACGAGGAGGGGGCCAAGGTCTATGGGGAGATAGATAGGGACCACATTTGCCCTCCTCCAATCTGCTGGGACTTGTCCTGTTCTCTAAGAACTCTACAAGATGATTGCCAGTGGTTCCAAAATGACTTCTGCTACTTCCTTCAACACTCTTGGATGTAGTTGATCTGGCCCTGGAGGCTTGAATTCGTTTAGAGCGGCCAGGTATTCCTGGACAACCTCTTTCCCTATTTGGGGTTGGATTTCCCCTAATCCAGTGGTTCCCAACTTGTGGGTCCCCAGATGATTTGGCCTTCAACTCCCAGAAATCCTAACAGCTGGTAAACTGGCTGGGATTTCTGGAAGTTGTAGGGCCAAAGCACCTATGGACCCACAGGTTGAGAACCACCATTCTAATGCCTTCAAATCAACAGTATTTACTGCAACACTTCTAACACCAAAGATTTTTACCTTTCTTCCTTGCTTTGACAGCTTCTTCCCATAATCTCAGGGTCTCTACCTGTTTTCCAGGCCAGTTGGAAACATGTTGTGTCTGCTGCTGCTGTTGCTGCTGCTGCTGCTGCTGCTGCTTCTGGTTGTTGCTCTCTTCATTCATGCATGCTATTCCAACCAATGAAAAACGAAGGGATAACACATCCATACAGATGCACATTAGAAAGATTTTTCCCCTACTGAATAGTTTTCTGCATTAAAGAGGGAACAGGATTGCCCATTATTATTATTATTATTATTATTATTATTATTATTATTATTATTATTATATTTATTTGTACCCCGCTACCTTCTCCCTGAAGGGACTTGGGGAGGCTATTCAAGTGCCACACATAAAAAAGAATTATGTATCATCAAAACAATACACAATTTGACTGGATACAAAAAATGGACAACATTAATCCATAACATATATATTTTAAAAAAATTCTAAAACACAAGTCAGACTTGTGGATCATTGGGTTTCTTCAAACACAGCAAAGCCAAACAGCAATGGCTGACATCATCACATGACTATAGCACATTGCTCCAGGTCAAAAGTCCGTGGAAATAACCATGGTTTTAGGCTTGAACAGAAGGTTTGGAGATTTGGGGCTATCTGATCTCTTTAGGAAGGGCATTCCAGAGCCAGGGAGCCACCACTGAGAAGGCCCTCTCTCGTCCCCACTAACCGCACCTGTGACGGTGGTGGCACCAAGAGAAGAGCCTTTCCAGCAGATATCAAGGCCCGCACGGGTTCATAACAGGGGATGGACAAGTGTGTCCCTCCATCACATCGATCCTAGCCAATATAACCAATGGTGAAAGATAATGGGAATTGTCGAAGAACTCTAGAAGGTCTTCACTTTACCTTCTCTGAATGATTGCTAAGCAAAACCTAATCTAGAGCTATTCCGGTGTTTCTGAGATTCCTGGAATCCCTTTCTGAACTTACGCTGTTTCAGTTCTAACTGTCTGAGAAACATAGAAATAGGTTGAAATTTAATTGTGCTTAGCACAGACTTAGGAGCCCCCAGTGGCATAGTGGTTTAAACCGCTGAGCTGCTGAACTTGCTAACTGAAAGGTCGGCGGCTCAAGTCTGGGGAGCAGGGTGAGCTCGCGCTGTTGGCCCCAACTTCTGCCAACCTAGCAGTTTGAAAATATGCAAATATGAGTAGAACAATAGGTACTGCTTCAGCGGGAAGGTTACAGTGCTCCATGCAGTCATGCTGGCCACATGACCTTGGAGGCACCTACAAACATCCATGTAAAAATTAATTTCTTCAGAATCAGCAGAAAAAAAAACTGTACAGGATTTCAATTTACTAGCCATTTGAACCTTGCTGATCGAAATTTTCCTTGATTTTAATGTTATGTATTACATGTGTATATTGTGAACCGCCCCAAGCCATCAGGGAGTGGTGGTATATAAAATTGATTAATAAATAAAATAAATTTAAAAATTCTTACACATTTAGTTTCAATTTTATTAGACCCCAAAAATGACATTTTGTTAAATGTCATGCACACGCTGACTGACTACTGCTCAGATAAGTGGGTCTAGATCAGAAAGTATTGTGGTTAGAGAACTCATATTTTGGGAAACTTAATTTAACACCTGACTGGCGCTACAGCTAAAATTTGAATAAAATTGGAGACATGATGGTGTCTTGGCATGGAATGTCCCATTGTATTATGTTATGCTTTTAATGTATAGTATTTTAATTAGTCTGACTCCCTGTATTCATTATGTTTACTTAGTCTAATCCTTGAGTTCAGTTTGTTTATGAGTTATATTGAATTATTTGATTTCATGTTTTGCTTTGATTATTGTTTATTGACAAAATGTTTGCCATTTTTGTTATTCCTGTAAACCGCCTTGAGTCCCTGTGGGGGGAGAGAGGGCAGGTTACAAATAAAGTTGTTGTTGTTGTTGTTGTTGTTATTATTATTGCTACTACTACTACTACTACTACTACTATAGTCATGGGGCCCCCGGTGGTGCAGTGGGTTAAATCCCTGAGCCGGCGGGACTGAAGACCGACAGGTCACAGGTTCGAATCTGGAGAGAGGCGGATGAGCTCCCACTATCAGCTCCAGCTCTTCATGCGGGGCCATGAGAGAAGCCTCCCACAAGGATGATAAAAACATCAAATCATCCGGGCGTCCCCTGGGCAACATCCTTGCAGACAGCCAATTGTCTCAGACCAGAAGTGACTTGCAGTTTCTCAAGTCACTCCTGACATGACCAAAAAAAACTATTATAGTCCACCATTCTACTCATTGCATTTTATTTTTGCTTACGGTAACTACAGAGAATTGTGCCTCATTCTTATTCTTCAGGGCCCAGTTTGCTTGCTTTTACTCTATTGTTGTTGTTGTTGTTGTTATTATTATTATAAAACTTAGTTTGTATACCGCCCTGTCTCCTCAAAGGGACTCAGGGCGGTTTCCAACTAATAGGCCAATTTTTAAATGCCAATGTTTAAATCTGTTACCTGTTCTTAAGACTTGTGATTGAGAAGGGGAAAACACAACCAAACCAGAGCTGTTCCCCTAGAAAAGAGCAAGCTGCTTGCTATCAATACAGCTCTTGCAGCATTGCAGTCTCTTCTAACAAGGAATCCGATCATATCGGTTTGTCAAAATGGGGCATGTTGCACTCTGTGTGGCAGACTGAGATGTGTACACAGGGGACCAGGAATTTGCAGTTGTTTCTTCCACAGTGATCAGAACTATGACTGAAATAGATAAATGGGAGGGCCCTAGGTGAGCTGACAGATGGCAGGATATATGGATTAGCGAGTGGGTGCGCAGAGCTCACAGTAATGATTTACTGAGGAAGAGGGAGACTGCAGCCCCGATTGTCATAGTCTGTACAATGGCACTCAGCAGAAAACTGGGAGCTACCTCCATGGGGTCGGAAGAGAAAGGTTAGCAGTTCCTGCCATATACATTTACAACACTAAAAGACATCCAGTGTAAACAATGGTTACTCACAAGAGGGGAGATGCAGGTTTTCTTGCTTGAAAAACCCAAATTCTGCAATCAAGAGGAGCCAAGGTGAAACAATGCTGCACAATTTACTCAGTACACACATCAGCCCTACTCTGGAAGACACCTCGTGAGCAAGTAGAATGGGGAAAATAAATACAACTGACAGAGAAGAGGAGGATGGGGATAGATTGGGAAGATTTCATATCTGGGTTTACACAGCTTAGATCAGGGCATGGGCAAACTTTCTAACTTGGGGGTGGCATGCTAGCACTATCTCCTAGGAGGACTGGCTGCCCGGTGATGGAAGGATGGAAGGGAAGGAGGAAGGAAAGAGAGATGGAAGGAAGGAAAGGGAGGAAGGGGAGGATGGAAGGAGAAAGAGGGAGAGAGGGAAGGGGGGAAGGAAGGAAGGAAAGACAATAGGGAAGGAAGGAAGACAAAGAGGGAGGGAGGGAGGGAAGGAAGGAAATGAGGAAGGGAGGGAGGGAGGGAAGGAGGAAGGAAGGAAGGAAGGAAGGAAGGAAGGAAGGAAGGAAGGAAGAGAAGAATAGAAGGAGGAAAGACAGGGAGGTAAGGAGGAAGAAAAGATAGAAGGAAGGAAGGACAAAAGGGTGGAAGGGAATGGAGGGAGGGAGAAAGAGGGAGGGAAGGGGGAGAAGGAAGGAGAAAGAGGGAAGGAAGGAGAAAGAGGGAAGGGAGGGATGGATGGAGGAAGAAAAGAGAGAAGGAAGGAATTATGAAAGGGAGGAAGGGAAGGATAGAAGGAGAAAGAGGGAGGGAGGGAAGGCAGGAGGAAACAGGGTATGAAGGATAGACAAAAGGGAAGGAAGTAAGAAAGGGAAGGAAGGAAGGATAAAGAAAAGAATAGGAAAGAAAGACAAAAGAGAAGGAGGAAGGAAGAAGAAAGAAGAAAGAGCGGGAAGGAAGGAAAGAAGGACGAAAGGATAAAAGGGAAGAATGGAAGGAGAAAGGGAGGGAATGAAGGAGGAAGAAAAGAGAGAAGGAAGGAAGGACGAAAGGGTGGAAGGGAATGGAGGGAGAAAGAGGGAGGGAGGGAAGGAAGGGAGAGAGGGAGGAAAAAGAGAAGGAAAGACTATTATTTCAATCTAAGGCACCTTGACGGAGTTCTTGTGTAGATAGAACAGAAGATAATCCGGAACTAAACCACATGATGGTCATAAGGCAAAACAGACACTATGGGGAAGAGTGAACTGCTTCTTGCCATCATCTGATAACATGAACTGTTCCCAGATTTGGCCATATAGGGCAGCAGCATTTCATTCACATTTTTCTTTTGGCTATAAGTCATTTTAAGGCAGCTGAATAAATAAGCCTGCAACAGAGCTTTCACCAGCCCACGTCTGTTTAGTCATGTCTGATCGCCAAATACAGTCAAATGAGGCAACAGACGGGACTTGTTGCACTTTCAATTTTTGTCTGGAATGCCATTTTTGTTGCTTCTTCACACAACTAAGGAAAGAGAGAATATTCTGTGGTAGTAATTGTCTTATTGAATTAAGATTTCTCCTTCAACTGCTGTTTTTTAAACAGATATGAAAGCATTTCGAAATGGGAAACCACATCTGCAGCCTGGTTTCAGTGATGTATTTTTGTTGGATCACATATTCAGCAATTCCTCTCCCTTGTACTATACCCATGTACTCCAAAAATTGATTTGGGAGATTAGGAAACCCCAAAAGGGGTTGTTTGCTTTTTGTGTGTGTGTGTGTGTCACAGTGAGCTGCATTTTGATGGGAAGGAAGTCACAGTTCTGTTGGTGTTAAACACCAAAGTATTCCACTAGGTTTCGGCTGCAAATCTCTGTCATCTCTACACCATGCAAACTATGTCTGCATGAGAAAAGCCCCCTTCAGGATGGCTTCCTGGGCATCCCCTGGACAATGTCCTTGCAGATCACCAATTCTCTCACACCAGAAGCAACTTGCAATTTCTCAAGTCGCTCCTGACATGAAAAAAAGTATGCTGCACAGGCTTAGCTAGTCTATAACCTAGAGAGAGGTGAGGTTCATAAAATTAGCATGATCCTTACATTTGATTTCTCAGGTGACAATTTACAAACCAGCAACACAATACAAATCCACTTGATGAATGTAAAATAAATAAATGCACATATACTTTTTTTTATCATCCGCCACAACTACTATGTGCCTCAAAATCTCTCCAGTGATAAAAAAGCTAGAAACCTATGGAAGTACACAGAAATCCTTCAAAGAGGTGCCTCGTGCCAGTTTTCTCTAAAAATCCCAGCGTTAGGTAACCATTTTGGATCAGGTGAGTGGAGATCTCAATTATTTGCACCACTAAACATGATGGTGAATTTCAGCTGCAATGATCATAACTGCATTCGCTACCTTAAAAAAGGGCATCACAATGAATTGATTTTAAAAAATTGTGTTTAGTCATCAGCTGATGCATGCCAAGAAGACCAAGCCATTCAAACCTGCTGAAATCAATAGGATGCCTTCAACTAACTTCAAATGGTTGTGAACAATATTTTGTATCATACACTCAGAATATGAGATGCTTTTAGGTGACTCACTTAAGAGGCAGGGATCTGAAAGCCTTAAGATCAGTGTTTCTCAACCTTCCTAATGCTGCGACCCCTTAATACAGTTCCTCATGTTGTGGTGACCCCCAACCAAAACATTATTTTCGATGCTACTTCATAATTGTCATTTTGATACTGTTATGAATCGCAATGTAAACATCTGATATGCAGGATATATTTTCATTCACTGGATCAAATTTGGCACAAATACCCGATACGCCCTGGTGCGGTTGGCAGGGGGGTTAATTTCCTTATTTGGGAGTTGTAGTTGCTGTGATTTATAGATCACCTACAATTAAAGAGCACTCTGAACTCCACCAACAATGGAATTGGACCAAACCCGGCACACAGAACTCCCATGACTAACAGAAAATACTGGAAGGGTTTGGTGGGCATTGACCTTGAGTTTGGGAGTTGTAGTTCACCTACATCCCGAGAGCAATGATGGATCAATCTTGGCACGAATACTCAATATACCCAAATGTGGACACTGGTGGAGTTTGGGGGGGAAATAGACCTTGACATTTGGGAGTTGTAGTTGCTGGGATGTATATTTCACCTACAGTCAAAGGACATTCTGAACCCCACCGACAATAGAATTAGGCCAAACTTCCCACGCAGAACCCCCATGACCAACAGAAAATACTGTTTTATGTTGGTCTTTGGCGACCCCTCTGTCACTCCCTCACCCCCAGGGGTCCCAACCCTCAGGTTGAGAAACACTGCTTTAGATCAATATGAAGATGCCCATTCCTATGGTTCTACTTTCTAAGATTTTAAGCATGCCACACTTAATACATACTATTGATGGTAAAGATGACAATGAAAATATTTTTAAAGGTATACACCTACTTTTATTGATTCCTTGTTTACAGGTATTACAGTTGATACTTTGGCTCTGCCCATGAGTCTTTAAGTGGCTGGTAATATACGCTGCACTCAGAAGTTTACCACAGATATTACATGACACTTTTCCTTCATGGCGCACCATGTGCGTCCGCAGCCTGTCTTTGGTGGCAAAGGCAGCTGTGCAGGTCTGTATGGAAAGAAACAGAAAGCCTGAGGCAAGCAGTCCTGCTTTACTGAATACTCCCAGTATATTTCAATATTAAGATATGCTAAATATATATTTAATATTAAAATTACTATGTTTTCATGAAGTCCAGAAAACAGGCTGAAATAGGAATTCAATGGGATCCATCTCAAAGCTTTTCCACTGTATGTGTAACACATACATGAGCTTCCTATGCTCTTACTTCAAACTTAGATGTGTTGTGACAGGAAAGGGACAAAAGAATGATGGCACACTATTCTTCCAAACAAGCATGAAGTACCATGAGAGCCGTTTCACCATCTCTAATGGGTCTAACACAGGCATGGGTGAACTTGGGCCCTCCAGGCCCTCACATATTTATACATGGTCATTATGTCTCCTCTCAGCCTTCTCTTCTGCAGGCTAAACATGTCCAGATCTTAAAGCCGCTCCTCATAGGGCTTGTACTCCACACTCTTGATCATTTTAGTCACTCTCCTCTGGATACATTCCAGATGCGGCCCCTTGGGCTCCTTTCTCTCACCATCCTATCCTTCCTTCCTTCTCTCTTTCCTTCCATTCATCCATCATTTCCTTCCATCCTTTTGTCCTTCCCTCCTTCTCTATTTCCTTCCTCCTTCCCTCCCTCTTTTTCCTATCAACCTTCCCTTCAACCCTTACGCCCTTCCTTTCCCCTCTCCCTCTTCCTTCTTCCTTCCTTTCCTTCTCTTTCCTTTATCCTCCCCTTCCTTCTCTTCATCCCTTTCTTCTTTCCTTCCATCCTTTCCTTCCACCGTTTCATCCTTCCTTCTCTCTATTTCTCCTTCCTTCCTTTCATCCTTCCTTCCTTCTCTCTTTCCTTCCTCCTTCCCTCCCTCTTTCTCCTATCAACCTTCCCTTCCACCCTTCCTTTCCCCTCTCCCTCTTTCTTCTTCCTTCCTTTCCTTCTCTCTTTCCTTTATCCTTCCCTTCCTTCTCTCTCTCTTTCTCCTTCCTTTCAGCTCTTTCATCCTTCCTTCCTTCTCTCTTTCCTTCCTCCCTTCCATCACCAGGTAGCCAGTCCTCCTAGTAGGGAGTGCTAGCATGCAGCCCCCAAGTTAGAAAGTTTGCCCATGCCTGATGTAGACACTAAACTCCTATTTATGCAGCCCAAAATCCCATTGGCTTTTTTAGCTGCCACATGACATTGTTGGCTCATGTTTAACTTGTTCTCCACGAGGACTCCAAGATCTTTTTCACACATGCGCATGTCGAGCCAGGTATCCCCCATTCTGTTTCTTTGATTTCATTTTTTCTGCCTAAATCGTGTATCTTCCAAGAAGCTTTCAACAAGAAACAACAAAATATTGCATTCAGGAACACGAGTAGAACTGCTTTGTTATGAAAGTTAAGACAACCTCACATACCAGGTTGACATGAAGTTTATAAATGCTGAGAACAGGCACAGGCAGTGTATTGAGCAGATTTCCTGATAAAACTCCTCATTTTTCCATTACTCAGTTACTTTTTAAAAAAACAGACCAAAACTGAACACAAGCATGAATTAGAACTTCTAATACAAAGCATTTGCTGGCCATAGTGCATCCCACGTAAACACGCTCAGACATGAACAGGCAAAAATGAACAGAGGAAGCGAAATAACCATTTGAAACAGTCGCTTGCATTTATGGTAGCCATTATAAATAAATTGACATTTATCCCGTTAACCTTGGGAGGGGGGTAGATAACCTCCAAAAAATCCCACCTTTTTGGTTCAACCTAAAATTCTTACTTACATTAACAAGCCTCCAAGTCAAGCTTCAAACCTGAAATTGGTTTGTTCATTATCAAGGGCTGTTGGCACTTTCCCATAACATTTACGACACAATGTGTAAAATAAAACCAGGTAATAGTCTTGCAGTGAAGGGGAAAGTGCCAACTTACCATATATACTCGAGTATAAACCAAGTTTTCAGTCCTTTTTAAATGTTGAAAAAAGCACCCCTCACCTTATACTCAAGGTTATTTATTATTTTATTCTGTTGTTGTTGTTGCTACTACTACATTTATTTTTTTATTCTATTTATTATTATTATTACATTTGCATTATTTAACTCTATTATTATTACCTTTATTATTTTACTTTATTATTGTTATTATTATTGTTATTGTTGTTGTTATTATTATTATTATTACATTTATATTATTTTACCCTATTATTAGGAGCCCCCAGTGGCACAGTGGGTTAAACCCCTGTGCCGGCAGGACTGAAGACCGACAGGTCGCAGGTTCGAATCCAGGGAGAGGTGGATGAGCTCCCTCTATCAGCTCCAGCTCCTCATGCGGGGACATGAGAGAAGCCTCCCACAGGGATGATAAAAACATCAAATCATCCGGGCGTCCCCTGGGCAACGTCCTTGCAGACGGCCAATTCTCTCAATTAATGTTGAATGTTATTATTTTATTTATTTATTTATTTACCTTACTTATATACCGCTGTTCTCAGCCCGAAGGCGACTCACAGCGGTTCACAACAAATACGAACAGCAAAAATTCAGTGCTACAGTATAGAAACAGTTAACAACCTAACACATTACACAATTAATAAACAGTTACTACAATACCCATTCACTGTCGAAAGTTTCTCAAGTTGCTCCTGACACGATTAAAAAACAAAACCAAACCCTATTATTACATTTATTATTTTACTCTATTATTATTGTAAGGATACATAAGCACATTTACATTGAAGAATGGTTTAATCAGAGTTGGACAATATTAGCTTAAATTAATTTTATGTAAATATTAAAAATATTTAACCTACTGATGCCTCAATAAATGTAATTTTATTGGTATCTATTTTTATTTTGAAATTGACCAGTAGCTGCTGCATTTCCCACCCTTGGGTTATACTAGTCAATATGTTTTCCCAGTTTTTTGTGATAATATTAGGTGCCTCGTCTTATAATCGGGTCAGCTTATATTCGAGCATATATGGTACTCCAGTTTAAGTCAGAAAAGGAAACACTCAAAGCAAAAACAAGGAGGGGCACCTTGATTTTGCACTGCACTTGAGTGGCACAACAAATGCTTCCAAAGTTCTCCATGAAAAAAGAGATAAAGCCCTGCCTCTCCAAACTACTGATATGCTACCAAAGCTTGCCAAAGACCCTCAGTGATTGCTTTTTCCAATACGGCTTTTTGCCTACCCTATAAAAAGCTTTCTGGCCTATGTAGCCCATGGAGACAAGGCTGAGGTTCTGAGCCAGTTAGGCCTATTACGGTGCCTATCGAGCAGGCATGGGCAAACTTCGGCTGTTAGAAATTGTGGAAGTCCAAAACACCTGAAGGGTCCAAGTTTGCCCATGCCTGATATAGAGCAGTTTCCAAGGATAAGGAAAACTGGTCAATTTTCTTCCCAGGCTGCAGTTCTTCCAATTCTTTGATTTCTGAATCTGGTGTGAAGCAGTTCAGCCAGTACCCCCAACAAGTTAAGCTTTACAGATCAGCAAATTCTTACTTGGCATTTGAAGGGCCTCTCTGTAGAGTGAACATGTTTGACATGACAGCTTAAGTGATCAGGCCTGTGAAAGAAAGAGAAGTAGAGACAGCAGAAGACACATTTGTTACACATAAACATAATACTGATTGCTCACACAGCCAAGCATGCTTCACAAGAAGGGAACTGAGAAATGACACCCAAACAGCGTACTTCCACGGCCCTGATCTACAAGTAACCCGATCTTTGCAATGTTCTTGTCACATCTTGCAAAGCCGCCATGCAAGTAAGCTATTTGCAGGCCTATCCTGAACACTTCGACAAGGAAAAAAAAGCCATTTTAAAGATACCGAGAGATCTTCCAGTCATTTACTCAGAACTGGAGAAAACTGGAGTCCAGGCTCTGTATTTCAAGTGCCAAAGATTGAATTCTCTCCTACTTCCCAATTCAAATTTCAAACATATGTTTTTTTGGACACAGCCTAGGCCCCTTCCACACAGCTGAATAAAATCCCACATTATCTGCTTTGAACTGGGATATATGGCAGTGTGGACTCAGATAACCTGGTTCAGATATTGTAGATTATTCTGCCTACAGTCTTTAACCACGACAAGGCCCAATATTAACCAATATTACAGAAGTGTTGAAGGCTTTCACGGCCATAATGACAGGGTTGCTGTGAGTTTTCCAGGCTGTATGGTCATGTTCCAGAAGCATTCTCACCTGACATTTCGCCCACATCTATGGCAGGCACCCTGAGGTTGAGGGGTCTGTTGGAAACTAGGCAAGTGACGTTTATACATCTGTGGAATAATGTCCAGGGTGGGAGAATGTTATAACTGGCCACCCTGACAAGCATTTAATGACCTTGTAGCTTCAAAGCCTGGCTTCTTCATTCATGCTAATCAAGGTGGCCAATTGCAACACTCACACTTGCCTCAAGCAGACAAAGAGTTATTTCTCCAAAACTGGAGATATATATAATATGCCCCACTTGCCCAATTTCCAAAAGACCTCACAACCTCTGAGGATGCCTGCCATAGAGGAAGGCAAAACGTCAGGAGAGAGTGCTTCTCGAACATGGCCAGACAGCCCAGAAAACTCACAACAACCCAACATTAAAGTAACATTAAAGTATGCTGTAGGTTTTTTCGGGCTATATGACCTCACAACCTCTGAGGATGCTCACAACCTTTGAGGATAGATGTAGGCGAAACGTCAGGAGAGAATGCCTCTAGAACATGGCCATATAGCCCGAAAAAACCTACAGTGATTCCGGCCATGAAAGCCTTCAACAAAACATTAAAGTAAGTTCTCACAAGGTTTTTCCATTGTTCGCAAAAATAATTCCACATCCTACCCTAACCCTGAACCATCCCAAGCTCTGACTTTTCTCACAAAGTCCTCCTCCAACCCACCCACCCCCATCGCGCTCGCAGAATGAAAATCCAATACTTGAGCTCGCCTGGGATTTTCTACATGGTACCTCGAAAAGCCTTTTCCACAAACACCACAGGTGTAGGGTTTGGTGATGCCACCCTCATGAGACCTCACGTGATAGGTCATGCGGTCCTTCCGTTTGAAACGCTGATTGCAAATGGGGCACTCAAAGGGTTTCTCGTCCGAATGGGAGAGCTTGTGCCTGTTGAGATGGTAGACATCGCGGAAGGCCTTGCCGCACATCTCGCAGGCGTGGTTCTTTTTGACGGGCTTGCTGGGCTTTTTGGCCGTCTGCGTCACCGGCATGGCCGTGGCACCAGCGCTGCTGCTGGGATTGGTGGCAGAGGAAGATGTAGTAACTGTGGACAAGATGCCTGCGATGGTCGACACCAGCGATGTCCGGCTGTTGTCGCCTGCAATGGTCGAGATTAGGGGTACCATTGTGGCAGGAGCTTTCTTTGGCCGTGACACTAACTTGATCCCTGTGTGGCAGGACTCGTGGCGCCTCAAATGGTAGCTGTCCCTGAAGGCCTTGCTGCAGTATGTACACACAAAGGAGGTTTTCGGTTTCTCCTTTTTAATCCCGACAATGGCATCTTTTAGTGTTTCTGGAGGTGGCTGAGTTTTCTGTGTGATCGGCAAGGGTAAAATTGGTTTCTGGTCAGGAGGCTCAACAGCAGAGCTCAGGAGGGGCAGCAAACTGTTCTGTGCTGCTTGCTGTTGGTGATGTGATGCTTCGTGTGCCTGAAAGCAAGACATTCAAACTTCAGAATTCAACAAAGAGTCAGTAAGGTTTTGGTAAAAGGAAAAAGATAGTAATAATAATAATAATAATACTTTTGGAGCACAATTCCCGACCTCACAATTGTGGGGAAAAAAACAAAGTATGGATTGTCAATGTTGCAATCCCAGGCGACAGCAGAATTGATGAGAAGCAACTGGAAAAGCTTACACGATATGAGGATTTAAAGGTCGAACTGCAAAGACTCTGGAACAAGCCAGTAAAGATGGTCCCAGTGGTGATCAGCACACTGGATGAAGTGCCTAAAGACATTGGGCTGCACTTAAAACAATAAGCGCTGACAAAATTACCATCAGTCAGCTGCAAAAGGCCACCCTACTCAGATCTGCAAGCATTATTTGCCAATAATTTCTGTTGGAAACTAGTCGAGTGAGGTTTATATATCTGTGGAATGCCCAGGGTGGAGAAAGAACTTTTGTTTGCTGGAGGCAAACTGCAAAGTTTGCGGCAAGTGTTTGAGGCACTCTGCAAGGCCTTTAAATGCTAATCAAGGTCAATTGCAACATTCACACTTGCCCCAAATACACAAGAGTACTTTCTCTCTCCCCCACCCCCTGGATATTCCACAGATATATAAAACTCACTTGCCATAGATGTGGGCGAAACGTCAGAAGAGAATGCTTCTGGAACATGGCTATACAGCCCAGAAAACTCACAGTAATCCAATTTTATTATCACTTAATGTAGTAGCAATTTAAGTATTTGTTGTCTTATTCTGATAAATATTTTCACTCAATGTATCCTATTTATATCCTTTTTCATAAATGAATCCTATTTGTATCCTTTTGATGTTTTTGGATTGATATAAAACTAAAATATAAAACAACAAACTTGACAAAGCGTTTACAAGCTTGTATTTTGACATACCGTATTCGGTCCTCTAGCGTTCTAATGTGCCTATGTATCAATGTGTCCATCACCTATGTATGTCCGGTGCAAAATCAGGAAGACTGTGCAATTACTATCAGGTGCAGTAATGGTCTCATCTTCTGGACAAATTTGTGGTACAATGCCTCAAAAGTGCTATGCCATCAAAGTGACAGCACTTTTCAAAAGAAAACCAGTACTAACCTTTTTATCCCCAGTAACTACTTGCAAAACCGGTTTTTACTTGTAGAACTAGAACTGTGTATCACTCTATAGCACGCTTATATTAACTCTTGCTTGTAATCTATAGCACTGAACTATACAGAAGACTGAAGAACTATGCTGTTTCCCCAATTTTCTTCCTTCAAGACACTCTTTCTACATGGACGTGACTACTGAGGAATGCCTCTGGTCATGTTCTCAAGTGCAGTTCCTATTGACCCATATAGGAAATTCACCACACCTCAAGTGACAAGAACATAGGTACTTTGCATGCAAAAGGTACCAGATTTAATCCCTGGCATCACTAGACAGAAAAATCTCAGGCAGCAGATGACGTGGAGAAAAAAAAACAGTGCCTGTTGTAGACTTTAAAAGTCAGAATAGGTGGCACCAATTAGACAGCCAAATAACTTGTTGTGGTACAGGACAGTTTGAGGCATCCTAAGGCAGCTTTGTTTTAAAGCCAGTTAAGCTTGATCATTAATCTGTAGGCCAACCCCTACATGAAATTCTTGGAACAAAATGTGGTGGGGCACTTGGATTCCACTGGGATTTGGTTCCAGAGCCCCTTACAGAAAGCAAAATTCGTGGATGCTCAAGTCCTATTATATACAATAGCATACTAAAATAAAGTAAAGGTAAAGTAAAGGTAAGTTTCCCCTTGGCATGTCCAGAGTCATGTCCAACTCTGGGGAGTGGTGCTCATCTCCATTTTTAAGCCATAGAACCAGCGTTGTCCGTAGTAATAATAATAATAATCATCATCATCATCTTTATTTATTACCAATGGGGACTTGGAGCAGCTTACATGAGGCCAAGCCCAAATAACAATTACAATTAAAAAAAAACTAAAAACACAAACTGAAAACGCGAACAATAAATAATAACATCCTAATTACATAAAACATATAAATGCATAACAATATAAAAATAAAAAATATGCACAGGCACAATTATAATGGGCGGGCTACATGTAGTGATTAAAAGGACAAACAGATTAACACTAATTAAAAACTCTGGCGAGTTAAAAGAGGGAAGCAGGTAATTTATGGAGGAGGGCTCATTTTAGTGGGAGTTGTGGAATCAAGCTTTCCCATGAGGGGGGACGTATACTCCAATGACAGAACTTTTGAGGCAGAGCAGTCATATGGAATTATATACCTACTCATCAAAGGTGCAGCGGAAGAGCCAGGTTTTAAGGTTCTTTTTGAAGATTTCTAGGGAAGGGGCTTTCCTAATTTCTCCAGGCAGTGAATTCCAGAGTCAGGGAGCCACAGCGGAAAAGGCTCTCTCCCTTGAATTCACTAGGCGAGCTTGAGAGACTGGCGGGGCGAAAGAAGGGCCTCCCCGGAAGATCGGACGGCTCATGGTGGGAGATACGGTCACAAAGGTAGGCGGGTTCCAAACCATTTAGAGCTTTGTAGGCAATAACCTGCACCTTGAATTGGGACCGGAAAATAAACAGCAGCCAGTGGAGCTCCTTAAACAGGGAAGTTGACCACTCCCTGTAGGTTGTCCGGAGACTCCTCCAAGGTCATGTGGCCAGCATGACTGCATGGAGCACCCTTATCTTCCTACAGAAGTGGTACCTAACATTGTAATGTTTTCGAACTGCAAGGTTGGCAGAAGCTGGGGCTAATGACAGGAGCTCACCTCATCTGCGGATTAAAACCACTGACCTTTTGATCAGCAAGTTCTGCAACTTAGCAGTTTAACCTGTTGTGCCACCGTGGCCCTACATGGGGTACCCTATATAAAAAGTACACTCTAGGCTTGATTTTTTAAAAAGTATTTTCAAGCTGTGGATGTCCGAATCCATGGATACAGGGTCAGTGGGTACAGAGGGTCAACTCCATATACTATATCGTATACCTGTTTTCATAAATGTCAGATATACACATAGTAGCTTGCAGTTCAACATGAAGTTAGCACTGTTCAGACATTTTCTTCTCTGCTGTGAACGAAAGAGCAAGTCTTTAACATAACTGAGGCAAGTGCAAGTTATATAATCTCATCTAAAGTCATTTTCATGAGAGAAGTCACTTGCTTTCTAAACGCAGGCACGTATCACAGACGGACGCAGCAAGGTACATGTTACCACAAACCCTTTTTTACATTCCCCAAGGGAAGCAATTCTTATGGCTAATGACTGGGTGTATGCCATGATACACTGGGAGATCTCTATCTTAATGACATCCTAGTTGGTTAACTATGAGTTACAAATATAATTATGAATACCCGGTCTACTCTATTAGCAAAAGGACACACCAAAAGGCAAAAAACAAAAACAAAATTTCAGCGTTGCACTTCCCACAGGAAGATTATTTTTTCTAAAACCATCCATAAACTAGCTTGCAGCCACAGCCAACCAGAGGCCAGCTGATTGAAATGGATACTTGCAATAGCTGCCTGCTGAAATCAAATGTAAAGAGTATTTATTTAGAACGCATGCTTTCTGAAATGCATATATGCATGCATGTTTGATTATAGCAAATGAGGTTGTCCTATCCTTTAGATAGAAATGGAGGAACTTTTCCTGCGTAGGTAGGTGGTACCCAAGCAGAACAACCAAAGAATGAAATCAACACAACGTTCACTCCATTTTCTATCACAATTTTGCCTACTAATGACAAAATAATGACACCACACCTGTTTTTTTTAAATTGATTTCACTTTAAATTGATTTCACAATAAAACAGCCTAAATAAAACACTACAAAACCAAAAGCCAGACATACAAACTATAACATCACCACCCCCACTGTCATCTCTGTTCAAAATCATAAATCTTACAACCCTGGAAGCAGTCAACCCCAACCAGTCATATTCCAATTATTTTCACATAGACCTTTTAGAAGTATAATGGAGCACGCACCTAATTTAACTCCTAAACCCCTAGCGTGCAGATGGTTTCAACACAAGTTCACGAAGGAATATATGGGCAGTATTAGTCAAGGCTTAGTCATTTCCCTGAAAAGCAGCATATGAGTGATTAAAACAACAGTGTCTGCATCTATTTATTTACCACATTTATATCCCGCCCTTATCAACCCCGAAGGGGACTCAGGGCAGCCAAACAAAGGCAACAATTCAATACCATATATTAATAGATTGGTAAATAAAAAAACCCGCTAAAACCAAACCCATTAAAAACATAGCAGTAAAACATCACTTAATATCACATGATTTCTACCCCTTTCTGACCTGCAGTGAAAAAACTAGAGAAGGAGTTCCCAACCTGTGAGCCATTGTCCACCAATGGAACACAAGAACTAAAATATGGTCCGCGTCCTACACCGTTGCAATGAGAGCGACTGGCCTTGCAAAACCTTCTTATAGTGCAGAGGCTTATTAAATATGATTATCTGTGGGCGAGCATAGAATCATAGCGTTGGAAGAGACCTCATGGGCCATCCAGTCCAACCCCCTGACAAGAAGCACGAATGTTCAGATGAAATCTCCTTTCTTGTAGTTTGAAGCCATTGTTCTCTGTCCTAGTCTCCAGGGCAGCATAAAACAAGCTTGCTTCCTCTTTCCTATGACTTCCTCTCACGTATTTATACATGGCTATCATGTCTCCTCTCAGCCTTCTCTTCTTCAGGCTAAACATCCCCAGCTCTTTAAGCCACTCGTCATAGGGCTTGTTCTCCAGACCGTTGATCATTTTAGTGCCCTCCTCTGGACACATTCCAGCTCGCCAATATCTCTCTTGAACTGTGGTGCCTAGAATTGGACACACTATTCCAGGTGTGGTCTAACCAAGGCAGAGTAGAGGGGTAGCATTATTTCCCTTGATCTAGACAGTATACTCCCATTGATGCAGGCCAAAATCCCATTGGCTTTTTTTGCCACCG